TTCTATTAAAGCTGACTTATCAATATTTCTGTATTAACTTTGGGTTTTCAACGTGTTTCAGGCCAAGGACCCTCAAGAGGCAGTTTATCAGACACTACATACTGATATACACCTGAACATCAGCTTTAGAGGACTCTTTAAAGTAGAGACACTACATACTGATATACACCTGAACATCAGCTTTAGAGGACTCTTTAAAGTAGAGACACTACATACTGATATACACCTGAACATCAGCAGGAGAGGACTCTTTAAAGTAGAGACACTACATACTGATATACACCTGAACATCAGCAGGAGAGGACTCTTTAAAGTAGAGACACTACATACTGATATACACCTGAACATCAGCAGGAGAGGACTCTTAAAGTAGAGACACTACATACTGATATACACCTGAACATCAGCAGGAGAGGACTCTTTAAAGTAGAGACACTACATACTGATATACACCTGAACATCAGCAGGAGAGGACTCTTTAAAGTAGAGACACTACATACTGATATACACCTGAACATCAGCAGGAGAGGACTCTTTAAAGTAGAGACACTACATACTGATATACACCTGAACATCAGCAGGAGAGGACTCTTTAAAGTAGAGACACTACATACTGATATACACCTGAACATCAGCAGGAGAGGACTCTTTAAAGTAGAGACACTACATACTGATATACACCTGAACATCAGCAGGAGAGGACTCTTTAAAGTAGAGACACTACATACTGATATACACCTGAACATCAGCAGGAGAGGACTCTTTAAAGTAGAGACACGACATACTGATATACACCTGAACATCAGCAGGAGAGGACTCTTTAAAGTAGAGACACTACATACTGATATACACCTGAACATCAGCAGGAGAGGACTCTTTAAAGTAGAGACACTACATACATGATATACACCTGAACATCAGCAGGAGAGGACTCTTTAAAGTAGAGACACTACATACTGATATACACCTGAAACATCAGCAGGAGGGGACTCTTTAAAGTAGAGACACTACATACTGATATACACCTGAACAGCAGCAGGAGAGGAACTCTTTAAAGTAGAGACACTACATACTGATATACACCTGAACATCAGCAGGGAGAGGACTCTTTTAAAGTAGAAGACACTACATACAGATATACACCTGAACATCAGCAGAGAGGACTCTTTAAAGTAGAGACACTACATACAGATATACACCTGAACATCAGCAGGAGAGGACTCTTTAAAGTAGAGACACTACATACATGATATACACCATGAACATCAGCAGGAGAGGACTCTTTAAAGTAGAGACACTACATACTGATATACACCTGAACATCAGCAGGAGAGGACTCTTTAAAGTAGAGACACTACATACTGATATACACCTGAACATCAGCAGGAGAGGACTCTTTAAAGTAGAGACACTACATACTGATACACACCTGAACATCAGCAGGAGAGGACTCTTTAAAGTAGAGACACTACATACTGAACATCATCACGGGGGAAAGCTGAGATCACATCATAGCAGAAAATAAGACGTAGAAACAAGTCAATTTTATCCAATTTATTACAAAAAGAGCACATACAAAAGGATAATATACAAGCCATGAAATAAAATTAAAATTAAAAAACAGAACAGTTTGGGTTTAGCAATGCAACTCTTGAAATCATTATCGTTATTATTAGTACGAATAATAAATAAGGTACAAAATTCCACCACATGTGAATCTAACATAATATGCTCATCCACTTCTTCATCAACACACTCATCTCCATTAATGCGCTATTGCTTTAATATTAATGATAAATAGTTCTATGTTCAGATAAAATATCCTATATTGAAAAAACATTGCGCAGTCACAGCTAAACAGCAGAGTTTCATACAAGATGGCGGCAGCCCTTTCACTGGCACTTTTTGGGATATTTTCTCTTTTGTTTTTGTTATATTCTTTGTATATATTTTCACCATATACTATTAAACCATTGAGACTATATTGAAACCTGAGAAAACATGCATTTTTAGAAAAAGGTTGTGCTTTTAAATCCTTGCCCGGAGGATAGTGTCTGAGAGAGAGAGATGGACGGTAAAATAAAACTAAACGTCGATGGAAAGCCCACAGTGAAACATGCCTCCAATAAATAACGCTCCACTTTTAAAAACCAGCAGCTAGTTTGGACAGTTAGTTTTGAGGAAAATGGCTTTAGTAGAAACTGTCTAATGTTGCTCCTTCACCACTTTGAATTAATAATGCAACCAATAAGGCATGGTGGCTTCATGGATTGATTGTTATTAATGGTTTCAGTGGTATGGAAACATCTTAAAGCGAGGGCACTTGTTATGTCTACAAACGGAAAATCAACATGCTTCACAGATGATCGTTATTTAAGACCCATAGTGCATTGTGAGAAGCAGAAGCGGAAGGTAAATAAAAAGAAGCCAGCGTTTTTCTTATGATAATATTAAATGATCTTTTTTTTTTTTTTTTTTTTTTTTTTTTTGTCTTTGCCAAGTGGAGGGGTTCCCATATTTAAAACGAGTGCAAAAAAAAAAAAAAAAAATCATTTCATCATGCAGTTGTCTCCACTACATCACAGCAATGGGGCACAGCGGAGAAAAGTGCATTGAATGGAATGTAACCAAGATCCACAGCACCACATGAGAGAGAGAGAGAGAGGGAGAGGGGGGGGGAGAGAGAGGGGGGGGGGGGGGGAAGGGGGGGGGGGGGAAGAGTGGGCGAGAGAGAGTTATGGGGGATGGGGGAGAGAGAGAGAGAGACAAATGGGGAGAGGGTGAGAGAGAGGGAAAGAGAGAGGTGAGACAGAAAGAGAGAGACAGAAAGAAAGAGATTTGAATTGGAAGAGGAGACAGCAATCAGGAGAGAAAGAGAGAGAGAGAGAGGAGAGAGAGAGAGAGAGAGAGAGAGAGATAGGGGAGATCGAGAGAGAGAGATAGGGGAGATAGAGAGAGGGTGAGAGAGAGAGAGGGAAAGAGAGGTGAGACAGAAAGAGAGAGATTTGAATTGGAGAGAGAGAGAGAGAGAGACCGACAGGAGAGAGAGGACAGGAGATAGGGTGAGAGAAGAGATGAGAGAGGAGAGAGAGAGAGAGAGAGGACTCAGAGCAGTAAACCATCGCACAGCCAGCTTGTGGAGATCAAACCGCCTATTATATTTTTTTTTTAGTGTTCCCGAAAAGTACAAACTGCATGCAAGCATTCCCATTTAAAACGATGCAAAAATGAGGTAATAGTTTTTTTTCAATAGCATTTTTGTGTTATTTCTAAATAAATAAATTATGATTCAGTCACCCCACACCCACCCATCTTCCCAAAACAAAAACTATATAAAATTAAATACATACCCACGATATCTACAGTTAGTAATAAATTATGATTGTTAAATACTTAAGGCATCTCAACTGACAACACCCTGTGTAAACTATGAAAACTTCATCACAGATGACTCCACTACAGGAGGCAGCGTCGCAGTGCACAACACGGACTTCATTGATCCTTATCGAGCTAAGCCTTAACGAGGCTCAAGACACTGTCCCTGCGTTCCAATAATCATACGACCATACTTTTTTACTATGACAGAACACATACTATGTCAAATGCAGTGGTGGAAGAAGTACTTGGATATTTTAATATATTTTACTCCATAACAAGTTACAGCTAATTCTACTTAAAGAATACAAACGTAAAATGACCGTAAGATATTCTGAATATTCAACAAAATGCATGTAATGGAGCCAGAAATGAAGAAATCTGTCAAATACTGTGTACTCTTACAGTACTGCATAATATAATTAAAGCATATTATGTGTTTTTATATCTAAAAATACCTGTGAGTGTTAAATAAAAGTAGTGCATTAAAAATATGTAGCATAAAATGTTAAATACTCGAGTAAATGTACTTTCCACCGCTGCAGAAAACACCAGGATGAGCTTCTGCATCTAGTTGCATTTTTACAGCAGGATTGTCTGACCCACAATCCTTTGCAGCAGATACAAGAGGGTTGAGGAGTCATGCAAGGACAAAGTAGTAATTGTCCGATTGTTATGCGTACTGCGTGCAACAGTGCAAACATATGGCAGTATAAGTATTCACTAAATATATATATAGTATGTGATTTGGAACGCAGCCTGTGTTTGATTTCACTATCACAGTGAAGGACAGTGAGGGTCATTCTGTGTGTGTGTGTGTGTGTGTGTGTGTGTGTGTGTGTGTGTGTGTGTGTGTGTGTGTGTGTGTGTGTGTGTGCACTGCGAGGGGAGGGGGGTGGGGGCTGCCTCCATCGCACCACGTTCTACATGTTCTAGCAATACAGCATAGCAACCAGCATAGCAACCACGAGGGGAGGTCTGTCACACAAATACACACGATCAATACGCAAGCTCCTCTCTCTCTCCTCCGCCGAAAAAAACACTGCATGAATCTATATCCTAAATATAAACCTGGATGCAATACCGAGGAAAAAACAAAACCCTTTTTGTTGCTATAATAACTATTGTCACATGTGCTTGTTCTTTAGGCAATAAGGTAAACATTGAACAGAGGATCACGCCTCCTCTGAAGGATGGACACACGCTACAGGTCAGCTGACTCTTGGTTAGTGTTGAGAAGAAGATAGTCACAGCTCAGATTCACGTCATGCAAAGCCTCCCTGTGTCGCGTTTCAATCGGAGAAACCTGAATCCATGATGGAACATGCTTTTTTTTAGTTTGTTCAGCGCCAGGTGGAGATTCAGGTACGAAGAGCAGCTCCCCCTCCTCTCCTTTCCTTTTTTCATCCCCTTTTTTTTTTGGCTTTGTGTTGTATAAGCACTGCTGTTAACCTACAGCGAGCCTCGAACCCTTAAACACACACGTTCACGTTAAACATCCATTCGTTAGGGCACACACACACACACACACACACACACACACACACACACGTAAATCTCAGGCTCAAGCGACACCGACAAAATGCATTTTGGTAAAAACACTTTCTACCTATTTTTTTCTAGTCTTTTTTTTTTTAAAACACACGACGACTCGATCACTCGGCTCGGGTTCAGTGAAAGAGACCAACTGCCACGACACCAACTCAAGGTACATCTGTATTGCAAAATGTCAAAGCTGCATGATAGGATAAAAACTAGCTGCTGCTCGCTGCCCCCCCCCCCCCCACGATACTGTTACTGCTACTCTACTACGACCACAAATGATCTTTAGGTAAACATGGCATCATCAGAGCATCTGTTAAGCTTTGTGTGGCAGAATATTCACTTTGATTGTGTTTGAAAAGAGAGAAATATATATGTTTTTATAGATATATATATATATAGAAAGAGAGACAGGAAAGAGAGAAAGTAGCCAGCTCAGTGTGGGGTTGTGTGTTTTCCACTTAGTTAGTCATGGCTTTAGGACATGCTACACAGCCCGCGGCTACCTACAGTACGACACCACGACAGCAACAACACCCCACTACAACCAGCAAGCTACAAGTAAACCCTGTGTACATGAGTGTGTGTGTGTGTGAGTGTGTGTTTGTGTGTGTGTGTGTTGCCTCCAGAAGGATGTGCTTCTATATAGAGTGTCCTTTGCCTCACTGTCGAGTTAGTGATCCTGGCTTGGCTCAGAGAAGCGTGAGTCAGAAGGGTCTGGAGACATTTGGCAAAGCACCCAACAGAGGGGGGGGTGGGGGGGGGGAGGGAGGGAGGTAGGGGGAGGGTGGAAGAAAGCAGGAACCACACCAGGGTGATTGACAAAGAGAGGAGGGTGAGGAGGGGGGAGTTAAATCTCATCAGCTGTCAGGGTTCAGCTGTGTTTCGATGTCCACTCGACAGATGGGACACTTCCTGCTGGTGGCCAACCATTGGTCCACACAGCCCTGGTGGAAGAGGTGCATGCAGGGTAATCTCCTGGAGGACAAAGAGAGAGAGAGAGAGAGAGAGTTAATGATGATTCAAGCAAGACTCTCACAGTGTGTGGAAACAAAGGAAACCAGGATATAAGAATAATCAAAGCCTATGTTTTAGTGGCTGAATCAGATGAATAACGCCAACATGTTTTGACAACTTGAGGTATTTTTTAAAGGAATATATCACCCTTAAAATGACCCTTAACCAAAATAAACCTTGGTTTTTCTCACATAGACGAACACAATGGGATTATTTGTTCTTTTTTGAACAAACAACCCAAAAACAGAGAAAAGTCTTGATTCATTTTCACTCAAAACGTACAAAATAAAACAGTAAGTGTGAGAGATAAGGGAATGTTTTAGTCAAAATGCATGTGTTTGGGAAGTAGGGAGAATACGACTGTTTGATGTTTTGATATAGTTTTGCCCTAATTTTGTTGAATTCATCAAGACTTTTCTCTGATTTCAGATAATTAGTTCACAGTGGAGGCGTGTGAATGTAGGATGGTGAGTAATTGATAAACAAATGGTTCATTTTGGGGTTGAAACGTCCCCTTAACATTCCCTTCCTTATTGTTATTTGTTCGTATATTTAGTAGTGCTTCTCTATCATGTTCCCCCTGTTATCTAAGAGCGCCCGACACACGTTCCCTCTCAGTTTGGAGCCTGTTGTGAGCTTGCAGAGAAACTTCTGAACCCTGCAGAGATTTAATTCTGTTCATTCAGGCACGTAGAGGCGACTTCTGTCCAGTCATCAATCCTGCAGACAGCTGAGGCTCCACATGCTGTAAACTGACCCTTCCCCCCCCCCCCCCAGGAGCTGGGACTGATCCTCTGAATGTCACACCCCCAATAGGTCTGTGCACATGCTCATGTCACCGGGTACAAGCAAAGATCAACAGTTTAGAAAATACACTTATTTGCTTGATTAAAGGAGGAGATATATATATGTGTGTGTTGAATGTGAGTTAGCAAAAGTACACGCTTCCTTTCCTCAAGTAGAAGTACAGATACCTCGTGTTTAAAAAAATACTCTGTGAAAGTAGAAGTTTCTGACTAAACTTCTTTACTCAAGTCAAAGTAAAGAGGGGCTTTGAAAATGTACGTCAGTAAAAAAGTACCCATAACTAGCAGCTGTTTTAAAGAGTAACCTGACCTCCCTTTATATTGATAGAACAATAATGTCATTGTTAGCTAATGAATGTTTCCATGCTGAACAACGGCCACATGACAACGTTTTCATTGGTCCCTCTTCTTTAGAGAAGACCAGGAAATGATGGATACACGGATCGTGTTCAAAATCAATAGGCACGCAATGACTCTAAATAATAATGATCACGCCACCAAACAACACATTCAAACTAAAGGAACCAGCCTGTTTGGGGAATGTGAGAATAGAAAGTACAGGTATTTGGGTTCAACATGTAAGAAGTAGAAAGTACAGGTATTTGTGTTCAACATGTAAGAAGTAGAAAAGTACAGGTATTGGGGTTCAACATGTAAAGACAGTAGAAAGTACAGGTATTTGGGTTCAACTGTAAGAAGTAAGAAAGTACAGGTATTTGTGTTCACATGTAAGAAGTAGAAAGTACTGGTATTTGGGTTCAAAATGTAAGAAGTCAAAGTAAAAAGTCGTCAGAAAAATAAGTAGTGGAGTAAAGTACTGATATCAGAAACATGTACTTAAGTAAAGTAACGAAGTATTTGTACTCCACTTCTTCCCCCCTCTGGTTAGCTTAGCACAAAGACTGGAAACAGGTGGAAACAGTTAGCATGGCTCGTAACAGAATCTGCGTACTAATGCATTTTTGTTTTGTTGTGACAACTGTTCCACGCTGAACGGGGCAGATCAGATTTCGATGTGTATAACATAAGAGATACTCTGTATGTCTAATGCTAGCAGGGGGGGGGGGGGATTGTGGCTATTAATGGTTGTTTATGTATCACTATTTCTTGGCTGCAACTAGAGACGTCTTCGATTCCCTCCACTGCTCAGAGCCAAGAAATACTATGGATTTTGTTTACAGCAGGATAAAGCCAAGGCCAGCTGTTGCCCCTGTTATGCTAAGCTAAGCTAAGCTAAGAGAGCTGGTTTGAACATGTAAAAAACACACCTCTACCAACATATGTTCAAACTAGCTTTTAGCAGAGAAGCTCACCAGAGTATTTAACACCTCTAAAGTTGACTGTAGCTCCATATTGAGCCATCTCTATATTCTTGGGGTTAGGTTTAATTGTCAAGAGAATGAAGAGAGATTGACGTTTTTTTACTGGTCTTGTTTGTAAGTGAAAGGGTTCAGGAGTTAACCGTCAGTCAGCAGCTGGAGCTAATGTTAGCATATTGACAAAGGAAACACAGTGGCCGTTTCTCAATCGCGAGGATATTGGCTTCCAAGCCAATATTTCAAGGATGCTACGTCATCGAGTGGCACAGCAGGACTGTTCCAATCTCTAGCATACTTGGAATTCCACCGAGGCTGTGTCCTTGGTTTGGGGGAAATTTCGAGGCTGCACATGAGTAGACTTCGCGTCCTTAAAATCCCCACAATGCTTTGCGCACGGACCAATTTCCCCAAATCTGTGGCGGAAGATGTAAGGCGGGGCCTCTCATATGACGCACACCTGCACACTTGCTAGCGTGTTCCACTCTTCGTTTTCCGAATGCCAGGAAGTATTCTTGCCTCGCTTCTGAAGCAAGATGCTCGGCTCGGCTGTGATACCAAGCCAGCATCCTCGCGATTGAGAAACGGCCAGGGTCTTTGAAAAGTCTTATATTACTTTAAAAAGTCTTATATTACTTTGAAAAGTCTTATATTACTTTAAAAAGTCTTATATTACTTTGAAAAGTCTTATATTACTTTGAAAAGTCTTATATTACTTTGAAAAGTCTTATATTACTTTGACCCCTAACCCATCAAACTCCCACTGCTATTTATTTCATTTTTACATTATTATTTGCCCTACCGTTTGTTTGTTTGTTTGTTTGTTTGTTTGTTTGTTGACAGCATGTAAAGCGGCCTTGGGTCCCTTGACAGGCGCTATAAAAATGTAATCTATTATTATTATTATTATTAAAAGGATATTGAGCTTGGAGCAGGTTCCCTACCGTACAGATATAATACAGGTTATTTGTAGAGCAGCTTTCACGCACAAAGTGCTTTACAGAAAACACAACAACAATATTAAAATAAATACAGAACAAGATAAAACGTCAACAATGAACGTCCTAATGAAATTCCCTTGAATTAAAGCTGACAAGAAAATAAAAGCAGTAACAGCAAAACATGGACAATGATACCGGTGAGAAATTGAACCCAAATTACAAGCCATATTAAAAAGATAGGTTTTTAATATCAGAGAGTGATCCTCCTCCCTGACATCAAGCATGTGAGCGTATTTCCCATTATTATTTTAATCTTCTAAATCTCCTTTTAAGAACACTGAGGTTTCTGACCTGACGTCCTCTTTGTCCTCCAGCATGGACAGACAGATGGTGCACTTCTCGTCCACGTCGGTCTCCTCCTCCTCTCCGGTCTTCAGGTGCTGAGGCTTCCTCTGTGAGAAGAGCAGATTACAGAAAGTAGAGTCAGACAGGTGCAATACAAATACTTAGTTACTGTACTTAAGTACATGTTTCTGGTATCAGTACTTTACTCCACTACTTATTTTTCTGACGACTTTTTACTTTGACTTCTTACATTTTGAACACAAATACCTGTACTTTTCTACTTCTAACATGTTGAAACACAAATACCTGTACTTTCTACTTCTTACATGTAGAACTCAAATACCTGTACTTTCTACTTCTTACATGTTGAACCCAAATACCTGTACTTTCTACTTCTTACATGTTGAACACAAATACCTGTACTTTCTACTTCTTACATGTTTGAACCCAAATACCTGTACTTTCTACTTCTTACATGTTGAACCCAACTACCTGTACTTTCTACTTCTTACATGTTGAACACAAATACCTGTACTTTCTACTTCTCACATGTTGAACCCAAATACCTGTACTTTTCTACTTCTTACATTTTCCCAAACAGGCTGGTTCCTTTAGTTTGAATGTGTGTCTGGTGGCGTGATCATTATTATTTAGAGTCATTGCGTGCCTATTTGATTTGAACACGATCCGTGTATCCATCATTTCCTGGTCTTCTCTAAAGAAGAGGGACCAATGAAAACGTTGGTCATGTTGCCGTTGTTCAGCATGGGAAACATTCATTAGCTAACAATGACATTATTGTTCGATTAATATAAAGGGAGGGTCAGGTACTCTTTAAAACAGCTGCTAGTTATGGGTACTTTTTACTGAAGTACATTCAAAGCCCTCTTACTTTTACTTGAGTAAAGAAGTTTAGTCAGTACTTCTACTTTCACCAGCAGTATTTTTAAACACGAGTATCTGTACTTCTACTTGAGTAAAGCATGGTGTACTCTCTGGGTGTCATCATGCAGGTATGGGCCTACCTTCTTGTATTTGTGAGGGAAGGTGAACCTCTCGATGGTGGTCTGACGGCTCCTCAGGTCTCACACTGCCCAGACGGTCCTCCAACTGCAACAGCTCCTGAGGGGAAGAGGGGGGGATAGGTTTAGAATAGGATAACGTACAATAAAAATACAATCTAAAAACATCAAGACAGCTACTATATTGAGATTAAGATGAGATTTATTTGTGTAACTGATTTTTTAAAGGTAAGAAATTAACATTTAAGATGAAAATGTAATGCCAAGAAGAACAGGAAGTCCTTTTTTTTTGTTAGATAGACTTCTTAAATGAAAAGCGTTTACCTCGTATGCTTTTCTCGCACGGCGGGTGGGTTGGCGTGCCTGGAAGGATTGAGACTCTGCAGAGCCAGCAGGTGCAGCTGGGGGTACGGGTAGGTTTCTGATTTCATGCACAACCTGAAGAGAAAGGGGAACTCTTCATCAAATTACAGCTAAAAAAAAACTGTTAAACAAAGTCATTTAAATAGTTTTGTATGGCATTCTTAGAAATATAAAAACACAATTTCTGAGAATACTGAAGGGGGAAGCAAACACCACATCTTTCAAAGCAGAACAAAGTTTGTCTGAGCATTAAATCCACCAAGAAAAACCTTTTCACTTATAGGAAAATATTATCTTTCAACAGAGGATAACTAGCAGGTTTGTCTCTCTGAATCCCACTCAAATGTTCTGGGATCAGAGATTTAATCATCTTGTAACGTGCCGAATTTAAGTGGATCCTAACATAACCGCTGTGGAATAAACCTTCACATGCTACAGTTTAAAAAGGAGACTAAACCTATCTATGGATGTGAGTTTTTCAGCCACAACAAAAGGCCAACATGCAGGTAGCACCAGACTCAGAGTAAGGCTTGTTTTCAGCCGAGCAGATGGCTGGAGATGCCTTTAAATACTAAAACTGTTTATCACCTGCAGCGCCTAGCAGACAGTTCAAAGGAGTAAAGAGTCAGCCGTCAAAGAGGGTTTAAAAGAAGTGATAAAATACAATATGATAAGAGATCCTCAAGCAAACAGTAAGCAATGTGCACGTACAATATTAGGCCTGTTGGTCCAGTGAATAGTTTAGTGTATTTGTGTATTATAGTGTCGTGGACAGTCCCCATTGATCAGCTGTCACAAACAACACTAAATGGAACAGCTTTAGCCAACATGCTAACTTCCAGCTGTCCAGATGATAATAGAGACCTTTTTAAAATCACAACACATCAACAGCATTAATTATAATTTATAAAGAAAGGATGAAAGACAAGTAGAAATAGAAAATAACACACGCGACCAAACTCAGTTTCTCCCAGAAGCTTGAGTGTGGCTGAGATAATGAACAAATAATTATGACAATTACAACTCAGATTGCAAACCAGCAGGACGTACCACTTGTGCAGAGGAAGTGTTCCTGGGGAAGTGATGCATTCTGGGAGAGGCCAGGTAATGCTGGTAGTGCTGGGGCAGCTGCTGGAGCTGGTACTGAGGGGGGGGGAGTCCGGCGTCCACACTGAGGTCCCTGGGAGAGAGAGAGAGAGAGAGAGAGAGAGAGAGAGAGAGAGAGACTGATCAACATCATCACCCTCACTGTGAGACACACAGACAGCGTTATTTCAAGGTCATTTAAAAGACTCAAAACAACTCTAAACGACCTTGAAATAACGCTGAAGCAAGCCGCTGTGGCTGTAAATGCTTTGGCTAACATGTTGTATGACTGTGTTGTGATTGTCTGTAACTGTGCTGTTACCATTCTTGGGCCAGGACTCTCTTGGAAATGATATTTGTAATCTCAATAGAATAGAATGAACCCCTCTGTGATGGCCACACATGCAGAGCACACACAGTGACATGTGTTCTCTGCTTTTAACCTAGTACTAGGAGCAGTGGGCAGCTATTGCACAGCGCCCGGTGCCTTGCTCAAGGGCACCACGGCAGGGCCCAGGAGGTGAACTGGGACCTCTCCAAGTAGCGGTCCACACTCCATATATAGGTCTGATCAGGGACTTGAACCGGCGACCCTACGGCTCACAGTCCAAGCCCCTACTGACTGAGACCCTGCCGGACAATGAGACCTATCCTGGTTAAATAAAGGTACAATAAAATCAAATAAAACATTTCTCTGCAGGACTCTCATCATACGATACGATAATACTTTAATGGTCAGATCAAGTCTGAAAGTTGACTCGCATCACAGCAGCTCCATGTGTAACATCAACATAAACAATCAGTGAGAGAACACCTGCTCAGAGACTCACCAATCGGTGCCCTCGGCCAGGTACCTCTGCTGCTGCTGCTGCTGCTGCTGCTGCTGCGTTGTGATTGGCTGAGGGACGTGGAGAGGGGGGAACTCGTAGCCTGCTCTCAGTCTGTGGGGGTTCAGGGGGAGACGCTCCTGGGTTCTTCTGAGGGGAGACAAAGAGGAGATGAACAAGTTATTTGTTTGTCTGTGTTTGCAAGGACGTTGTGACATTTGTGAGAACACAAATCAGGCAGGGGGCCCGCCGCCTCCTACACACTTTATTATTTCTGCATTCTGGGGAATTTCAGGCACCAATTTATGGTGGAAATGTTTTTGTTTATGTGCCAGGTGACATTTCAAAGTATAAATATATAAATGGAAGATGATGCAGCAAGGCTCTCAGGCATTGAAGTATTTATTCTCCTGTACATCCAACTTTTCTCGTCTAATGAAAGATACTTTACACTACCCTCCTCTGTTGTGTCTGTTTTCTTAATTTACAAACCTTAAAAAATACTTAAAAACCTAATATGTCTGTTAGATTGATATCTGCTCATATTCAGAGCTTTTTGCACATTCAATTCAGACCCAACTTAACTGTTTTCTAGGATTCTAAGAACACATTTTGGTCATATTGTGAGGCAAAAGGTTGAGATTTCACAAAAGTCCAAAATATTTCTAGAAGTTATATTAAAGAATATTCTGCCGTCTGTCTGAGAGAGATTTGGTTAAAAAGAACTCAATGGTGCTCTAGGAGGAGATTCAGGTGATAAGGTGGAGGGGGGGGGTTACCTTGGTTGCTGATTGGCTAATGGTTACACAAGACAAAAACATCGTTATGACATCATAAAGTGGCCAAAATCTGATCAGCTCATTTTCAGACAGGTTTTTATAGAAATGGATCAGGAGAAAAAGAGAGAGAATCTTTGTTCCTGAAACTTTCAGAGTCTCTTTACACAGAGGGGACACATGGTGATGAAGAAGAGACATGAAGAAGAGGGGACACATGTTGATGAAGAAGAGACATGAAGAAGAGGGGACACATGTTGATGAAGAAGAGACATGAAGAAGAGGGGACACATGTTGATGAAGAGAGACATGAAGAAGAGGGGACACATGTTGATGTAGAAGAGACATGGAGAAGAGGGGACACATGTTGATGTAGAAGAGACATGAAGAAGAGGGGACACATGTTGATGAAGAAGAGACATGAAGAAGAGGGGACACATGTTGATGTAGAAGAGACATGAAGAAGAGGGGACACATGTTGATGTAGAAGAGACATGAAGAAGAGGGGACACATGTGCATGTAGAAGAGACATGAAGAAGAGGGGACACATGTTGATGTAGAAGAGACATGAAGAAGAGGGGACACATGTTGATGTAGAAGAGACATGAAGAAGAGGGGACACATGTTGATGAAGAAGAGACATGAAGAAGAGGGGACACATGTTGATGTAGAAGAGACATGAAGAAGAGGGACACATGTTGATGTAGAAGAGACATGAAGAAGAGAGGACACATGTTGATGTAGAAGAGACATGAAGAAGAGGGGACACATGTTGATGTAGAAGAGACATGAAGAAGAGGGGACACATGTTGATGAAGAAGAGACATGAAGAAGAGGGGACACATGTTGATGAAAGAGACATGAAGAAGAGGGGACACATGTTGATGTAGAAGAGACATGAAGAAGAGGGGACACATGTTGATGTAGAAGAGACATGAAGAAGGGGACACATGTTGATGAAGAAGAGACATGAAGAAGAGGGGACACATGTTGATGTAGAAGAGACATGAAGAAGAGGGGACACATGTTGATGTAGAAGAGACATGAAGAAGAGGGGACACATGTTGATGTAGAAGAGACATGAAGTAGAGGGGACACATGTTGATGTAGAAGAGACATGAAGAAGAGGGGACACATGTTGATGTAGAAGAGACATGAAGAAGAGGGGACATGTTGATGAAGAAGAGACATGAAGAAGAGGGGACACATGTTTGATGTAGAAGAGACATGAAGAAGAGGGGACACATGTTGATGTAGAAGAGACATGAAGAAGAGGACACATGTTGATGTAGAAGAGACATGAAGAAGAGGGGACACATGTTGTGTAGAAGCGACATGAAGAAGAGGGGACACATGGTGATGTAGAAGAGACATGAAGAAGAGGGGACACATGTTGATGTAGAAGAGACATGAAGAAGAGGGGACACATGTTGATGTAGAAGAGACATGAAGAAGAGGGGACACATGTTGATGTAGAAGAGACATGAAGAAGAGGGGACACATGTTGATGTAGAAGAGACATGAAGAAGAGGGGACACATGTTGATGTAAAGAGACATGAAGAAGAGGGGACACATGTTGATGTAGAAGAGACATGAAGAAGAGGGGACACATGTTGATGTAGAAGAGACATGAAGAAGAGGGGACACATGTTGATGTAGAAAGAGACATGAAGAAGAAGGGGACACCATTTGATGTAGAAGAGACATGAAGAAGAGGGGACACATGTTGATGTAGAGAGACATGAAGAAGAGGGGGACACATGTTGATGTTGAAGAGACATGAAGAAGAGGGGACACCATGTTGATGTAGAAGAGACATGAAGAAGAGGGGACACATGTTGATGTAGAAGTAGAGAGACATGGAGAAGCGAAGAGGGGACACAGTTGATGTAGAAGAGACATGAAGAAGAGGGGGACACATGTTGATGTAGAAGAGACATGAAGAAGAGGGGACACATGTTGATGTAGAAGAGACATAAGAGAGGGGACACATGTTGATGTAGAAGAGACATGAAGAAGAGGGGACACATGTTTTGATGTAGAAGAGACATGAAGAAGAGGGGACACATGTTGATGTAGAAGAGACATGAAGAAGAGGGGACACATGTTGATGTAGAAGAGACATGAAGAAGAGGGGACACATGTTGATGTAGAGAGCATGAAGAAGAGGGGACACATGTGATTAGAAGAGACATGAAGAAGAGGGGACACATGTTGATGTAGAAGAGACATGAAGAAGAGGGGACACATGTTGATGAGAAGAGACATGAAGAAGAGGGGACACATGTTGATGTAGAAGAGACATGAAGAGAGGGGACACATGTTGATGTAGAAGAGACATGAAAAGAGGGGACACATGTTGATGTAGAAGACATGAAGAAGAGGGGACATGTTGATGTAGAAGAGACATGAAGAAGAGGGGACACAGTTGATGTAGAAGAGACATGAAGAAGAGGGGACACATGTTGATGTAGAAGACATGAAGAAGTGGATGAATAGGTGACCTTTAAATACGGTATATATATAGTGTTTTCCTACCTGGAGTGGGGCTCCGGCGGTGCGTGGCCTCCAGGAGTTGCTGCTGATGAGGTATTGCTGGTGTAAAGCCTGAGGTAGGAATGGAGGTCCGGGCACATCCTGGAACTGCGGGGGTGCAGGCAGGGCCGTGAGGGGCGCCGGGTGGTGGGGGTGGGGCGGGGGTCAGGTGGGGGGCCAAACCACTCTGAGGGGGCGGGGTCCCAGAGGAAACTCTGCTGAGAGGGGGGCCTGAGGAGCGCCCAGGTGGAAGTGTCGGCAGGAGGGTAGCATGGCTGTGCTGATTGCCGAGTGAAGTGAGCTCCTGAGAGGGAGAGAGGGGAGGGGTCAGAGAGAAGTACACACATCCTTTACTCAAGGAGAAGTAAAGTGTTTAAAATACTCTGGTGAAAGTAGAAGTACTGACTAAACTTCTTTACTCAAGTCAAAGTAAAGAAGGGCTTTGAAATGTACTTCAGTAAAAAGTACCCATAACTAGCAGCTGTTTAAAGAGTACCTGACCTCCCTTTATATTAATAGAACAATAATGTCATTGTTAGCTAATGAATGTTTCCATGCTGAACAACGGCTACATGACACGTTTTCATTGGTCCCTCTTCTTTAGAGAAGACCAGGAAATGATGGATACACGGATCGTGTTCAATCAATAGGCACGCAATGACTCTAAATAATAATGATCACGCCACCAAACACACATTCAAACTAAAGGAACCAGCCTGTTTGGGAAATGTAAGAAGTAGAAAGTACAGGTATTTGGGTTCAACATGTAAGAAGTAGAAAGTACAGGTATTTGTGTTCAAAATGTAAGAAGTAGAAAGTACAGGTATTTGTGTTCAACATGTAAGAAGTAGAAAGTACAGGTATTGTGTTCAACATGTAAGAAGTAGAAAGTACAGGTATTTGTGTTCAAATGTAAGAAGTAGAAAGTACAGGTGTTGGGTTCAAAATGTAAGAAGTAGAAAGTACAGGTATTTGTGTTCAATGTAAAAAAGTTCAGGTGTTTGGGTTCAAAATGTAAGAAGTAGAAAGTAAAAAGTCGGCATTCAAATATTTAAGCTCCAGTAGATTTAACTTAAAGTCATTTGATGAAAGGCATGTTTTACTCCTGCAGTGCAAGCAATACACTTTAATGTAGGCGTAGTATTTGTTATCCTGGCTTTGCTCATGGATGTTTGTCATGTTCACATTCAGCGTGAAAAACTTGTACAAGAAGTAACTTTGTTAAGAATGTGTTTACGTTTCTGAACAGCACATGCACACTTTTGAGTGATTTTAGAATCAGTTAGGCTAAGGGGGGATTCTTTTAAAGCTTATACGAGTTATTTCTGACAACGATCACAGTGCCTGAACCCTGCTGCTGCTGCAAAGTGTACTATTAAATGTGTCACTTCAAATTCAAATGTAAACTCTCATACCCACCAACTGTGAATTTTTCTCAAGATGACGTGTTTTCTTGAGCAAACCGATGTTTCTCAACGGGTTCTTATTTATCGCATTTCTTTGTGCACGCTATTTTTCAGAACCTTTTTGAACAAATTTGACTTTTAGCGCCATCTTAACCTCACATAGGTAGAAACAGTTAGCGTAGCCCTGACCAGAGATCTCTTAAATAACAATGTATTTTGATTTGTTAATATGTTGAAGAATGGTGTTCAGAAAAAAAACTAAAACCACCCGACATGTTGTTTTATGAAGAATTTTTGTGACTGTGGGAAGTTACTTTTTGAACAAATGTTACTTTTTAAAAAGCTGTGAGGACAAAAAAGGCCATTAAAAAACATTTGTCCCTTCTCATAAATGACGCCAGTTACCATTCACACAAACATAAAAACATATTTAATTTAGTCTTAATTTACATTATTTAATTTCATATTCTATTGAGATGTATATAGTCTTTTTATTTTGTATTTTATTATATACGTTGCATTGTTGGAGGAGCTCAGGTCAGCAGAAGAATGTCATTGCCATTTCTACACTGTCGCTTTTGTGCATATGACAATTAAACCTTTGTATCTTTGAATTGAATAAAAATAGGACACAGGAAGAGACAAGACAGACGGCAGATGGAGGACACAGACATGCAGAGACCCCCCGTGGAGCGCCATCTCAACCCTTCACAGATTGCACCCCCACAGCCTGCAGGAAGGATGGATCTCCTCTAAACAGCCTGGAGTGTTTCCGGAGAGATCTACGGCACCGAGGGTTGTCTTTTGGTTCCTAATCAATGTAATAGATTTCAGCTCCGTTTCATGTCTGCTGTTTTTGAAGGAGCAGCCGTAGATTCCTCATTAAAACCCAACAGATGATTATCCGCCTCCATCTCTCTCCCTTCCTATCAGAGACTGTGTGCTGGAGCCTCTGAATCAACGGAGTATCAAGTTGCACAAAACAATCGATACGAATTAATCCGAGCTGAGAGAAAAGAGTCTGGAACGAGGGTGATGTGGGGATAACCAGAATATACTTCAGCTGCCTATTGAAGCTTTTTTAGCAGACAGCAGGATCTGAGGGTGGATCATTAGTCACTTATATATTATTATATTGATCATTGATTGGTTGTCTAAGTCTTTTTCTGCGCAAGAATGACCAAAAAAAAAAGCAGTTTTCAGACTCTCAAAGATGGAGATATCCTGCTTTCCTGTTTGTTATAAAGTGTTGAGTTGACAAAACGGGATTCTTCACTATTTTCTGATGTTTTACGAACCAAACAAATGATGGAAACTGAAGTAATAGTGAGCGTCAGCCCTAATGGACTGTGTATAATGAAGTAGGCTGGTGGAGTATTGAGCTTTGCATTATGGGAGGAGATAATTGTCTGCATGCTGAGTCAGGCCGATTAGAGCTGCACTTGTTAAATGGAGTGACAGTGAATGTCTAATATGAAGAGATGATTAATGCTTCGCGATATATTTAACTCTAATTAACACACATTTTAAGTCTGTAAGATATACAATTTTTTATAATCCTTATTTGTATATTTCTTGTTTTTCCACTCCATGAAATTATGTTTTAGTTTTTCGTCTGTTTCTGTTTTCATTAAACCTTTTGAAAGGATGTAGCTTGAGCTGTTTCGGGTGATGCATTATTCATCCTCATTTCTCCTTGTCAAATGTCTGCGCCCTCTGAGTGCCCTTCACGTTTATTTAAAGGATAAATGCAACCTTTAGGAAATGATTTCTCCCTCTGAGAGTAAGAGAAGAGGATCAATACCACTTTATAATCTGTCTGGCTAAAGCCTGTTAGCGTAGCTTAGCTTTAAAGTGATGGGAAAAGGTAGAAACAGTTAGCTCTGACCAAAGATCTCTGAAACTCACTAAATGTATTTTGCTTTCTTCATATGTTGAAGAATGGTGTTAAAAAAAAAACTAAAAACCACCCGCCATTTTGTAGTTTTATGAAGCCTGTTGTGGAGAATTCTTAGTTTGTGACTGTGGGAAGTCACTGTTCCCTTCCAATAAATAGTCTGGGAATGTTAGGTTTTATATGCACAAGATATTCTTGTAAATGACTGATCTTTAAAAAGGCTAAAGAGCTAACGTTTGGTGACCTTTAAAACCGAGCTATGCTAGCTGTTTCCCTCCTTTTCTATTCTTTGTGCTAAGGCTAACCGACTTTTATCTAACAGAGAATGGCACAGTGTCTATTATATTTGATTCCTTGCACTATTGTATCTGTTTTATTGTGTTGCTCTGTTAGAGGAGCCTGTGACCTCAGAATTTCATTGACATATCTACACTGTAGCTGTGACAATAAAAGCCTTGAAACCTTGATATCGGGGTATTAATCTTTCTTTCTAACTCTCCACCAGAAGGCATGTTTCCTTTCCAAAATGTCAAGCGGCTCCTTTAATTATTGTTAATATGACATGTTACTCTGTGCCTTGCTCACAGCCTGAGGACACGGTGCCAGTGACCCCTGAGAGCCGCTGAGCACAACATTAGTCTGAGGAAGTAGAGCAGAAATGGCAGCAGACGCTCTCTCTGGATTGGCTGTGGCTGGACATCACGTTTGTAAGAAGCCTCTGACCTGGTAAGAGTGAAGCTTTAACCTTTGTGTTGTCTTTCTCCCAATTTTGCAACTCTGGTCCTGGTTTGACTGTGTATAAAGTATCAATCATAACCCCATCATTTTTTCATTTTTTGACTTTAGTTAATATCAGAAGTATCATTGGTATATGTCAACGTTTAGTAAGGAGTGTATTTTAATAAACGTAACACTGCCATAATTCAATGCAAACAGTGATCATACATTTTTCTCGCAAAGAACATTCAACCATTAGATTAAAAAACATATTTCTCCGACATAAAAACTCCACTAACCCCTCGCCCTTATTCCACCTAGCTTAGCACTTATTACTTTTTTTGTTATTTTCTTCTTCTTTACTTGCTTGTAAAGCGATTTGAGCACCAGGAAAAGCGCTATATAAATGTATTAATATTATAATTATTATAAGAACATTTATAGACGGGTCAAATTTGACCCAAAGACAACAGGAGGGTTCAGTAAACATCAGAGTATCTCTCTCCTCTCACAGCAGGACATTCTGACATACTGCAGTGTTGTTATTGTTTCATCTGTGGGTTGACTTGCAGACAGAATGCCTGATAGCTGCAGAACAGACCCCCCCACACACACACCTCTCCTCACTCACAGCCCCTCCCCCACAGTGTGGCTGCGGCATGGCGTCCCTGTTTGAGTGACAGCCCGTAAGCCCCGCCCATCCGCGACTGCAGCAGTCTGACATCAAACCTGTCTCCCCCCCCTCCTGCTCCCATCTCTGCAGCTTTACGATCTCACCTCCCCCCTAAAATAATCCTCTCTTCTGCGTGGTGCGGTGGTCTTCTATCATGTGACACTGTGAGCCTTGTGCATGCAGATTTACATTGAAAAGCCCTCATTAAATCAGGTGATATCACTCTCAAAAGAACATCCATCTGTTTGCAACTTATATCAATATTCCAATTACTTGTATATAGACTATTCTATTTACTTGCACTATTGTGTTGCTCTGTTGGAAGAGCCTGTGACCTCAGATTTTCATTGTCATAACTACACTGTAGCTATGTACACATGACAATAAAAGCCTTGAATCTACATTGAAAAGCCTTCATTAAATCAGGTTTTATCATTCTCAATCAGGAGTAAAATCAGCGTGCACAGCTGCTCTGAGAATCTGCATACAAATGTCTCCACGTGCTCACACACACACACACACACACACACACACACACACACAACTCTCTGACCTTGATGCTAAACATCAGTCACATCAGGACAGTGTGTGTGTCTCATGTTGATGTGCCTGGAGCAGGGCAGCTACCGGGGAGAAACTCATGCATGTACAGCTGTTGAGTTATTTAAAAGTCTGTGTCGCTGCAGAGGAGAAAGTTGCACAAGCACACACATCTCAGACACACCTAGTGTCTGCACATAAATAACTGGCTCTATTTCAGTCGCTGTGAACAGATGTAAGGCTGAAATAGCTAGAACAGGACAAGCAAGGAGTCCCAGACGTTAAAACATAACGTTTATATGTTAAAATGTGCAGATGATTAGGTGAGATTTATGGCACCAGAGCCTGCACTGCACGACTTTTTAGTGCATCGTTTAAACTGAGAGACCAAGAGCGTGTTAAATAACCTTAAAGGGTAAAACAATCATCTTAAAAACAGACAATGTTGTAGGTCAGGACGTGTAAAGACATCCCTACGTTATTCAATAACAATAATGAGCGTTTATTTGAATGATATGACTGACTTGCTGCTGTAAGAAGTGAGCAGCGACGTGCTTTTTTCTTTGATTACATTTGAATAACAGTCTCAAGGTCTGCTTCTCACGGGAAAAGAGCTGATTCACAACATCACACAGAGATATAACACTCCACGGATTAAATAGTTGCCATTTGTTCATTTAACCAAATTGATTTGTCATTATGCTAAACATTTGGAGACTCCCAATCCATCGATAGTTGGATATTAAAGGGGGAGAGTTTTATGAGAACATCGATACCACTCAAAGTGGTTTAATCCATACCAGAATTATGCGATGACTGTTTCTTGGAGACTATTTCTCTTCTAGGAAATAGCCGGGCACACACCACCCCCCACCCTCAAACATATTTTTGTACAAAACAAACAGAGACATGTTATTAGTGAGATTTAGAGGTGCTGTAGATTGATCTGTTATTGTTCTACAGAGCCAATAACGCTTTTTACTTCCTGTTTCCAGTCGTTGTGCTAAGCTAAGCTAACCTAAAACATGAGGGAGGTATTGATCTGCTAATATAGCTAACTGGCAGAAGAGGATTTCACAAAATAATACACTTTTTCATCAATAACAAACAGGACGGACTTGTGCGACCTTCACACAAAATGTAACCCAGACTTAGTTTTTATGAAATAAGGAGAGATTCCTGTAAGTATTTTTAAGTTAAAGTACCATTAAGTAAATACCTGAAGCATGATATATATTAGGGCTGTATCAAATAGTTTAAAGCTTTATTGACTTGTAAATGCATGTTTATTTATTCCCTTTAAAAGACGGTATTTCTGCATATTTACAGATAAAGATTAGGCTACCATAATACTAGTTTTATACTATTTGTAGGATTCGGTTTGTTTCCTCATTTGATCAAAGTCCAAATATATCATAGATTTATCCAATGATGCGTCTGCTTCAATTCATATTTGTTAGAGTTTATGCTTTCAAAAACAATGTTTGTTTAAGAGGCAAGCACTGATGAGTGTACATTAAGGATTTTTTTTTTTTTTCAGGGTAAAGACGTCATAAAATACTTCAATACACAATGTAAAAAAAAGACATTCGGTACAGCCCTATGATACATACCATGAGAAGATTCACTGAACATGTTGTAATGTCCATATTATCAATATTAATATTTCATTTTGAGATGATTTTTGCATATTTTAGCCAAAAATATACACTAGTAGTTCATTTTTTTGAAGAAAATTGAATATGTGACCATATATAAAATTATATATATACCCAGAAAGAGGATTTGATCCATATCGGCCAAAGTAGTTCCAATGATCACCAGTGAACACCAATGAGAGGATGTGAGGAGGCTGTGTCTCGTTTATAAAGAAGTGTATGGATTAGGAGGGAATGACAGCGTGTAACATTAAATATCAAAGCCGGTGTGTTTCAGTAACAACATGCGTTTGGTTTTGGTTGCGTTTTGTTTTGAGAATGGATAGAAAATTTGGTTGCCAACCAGAGCAGTAAGTTGAAGAAACTCGAAATGAGAGCACATAGAGAGTGAGGGACCGTCTCAGTGACAGCACAGTGTGGAAGGGAGGGGGGGGAAGGAGGCACACATGGAAATCAGCAAAAAGCACACTGAAGGTTAGAAAGAAAACTACAGTCTTTATTGGAAAATATTAGTAAGTGTGGCACTGTGTGATAATAAGAGTAATATTTCCTTTATAACCATAATAATATCATGCAAATAAAGACCAAAGGCAAGGCCCGACCATGCTCTCTGTAGGGTTAACAGAACAGAAGCAGCATCCAATGAGTAGATGTGTATGCTTACAGCACATTTCAGTATAGCAGGGACATCTCTACACAAAGTTTACATTGGAATCTGCTGTTCAATGTGGAAAAACAAAAGTATAAAGAAATGAACATGCATTAGGATCTAATACAAGAACATAAGGTAGAAAAAACCACAACCAAAGAATAAAAAGACATTTTCATTCTAAAAGGAGTTCTACAGCAGTGCAGGATATACACATCCCTGTAAAATGGATAGCATTCTGGAGGAGAGACTGTGAATGGTAGTGGGGGGAGTCTTTTTTTTTTTTTTTTTTAAATGGCAAGATGAGTTAGTCTCGCCGAGATTATTGTGACTGAAATCAATGAACCAAGCAGGAACAAAGGCTTTCACACATGGGAAGGTTTATGACCACTAGAACAGGTGCAGTGGACCATACAAAAAGGTGAGAATAACATCACACAAATTGCTGTGATTTTTAGCACTACGGGTTTTGGCCAATTGGTGATTGTTAGGATAATGGGATTTAAAGATTACAAAAGCTGGCACAATGCACCTAAGGGGATTTCGATCAAGCCTGGCTGTAATCGAATCGGGGAGGATCAAAATGTATCCACTTTACAGAAATTTACAGCAGAATGTAGTCTATCCACACTGAATGGGAGAATCACAATGACAGTTTGTTGGAGTAAAGTCTAATGCTACAATGGGTTATTCACTGAAGAGCAACATGACAGGTTTAAATAAAAGACAAACTGTTTCTACAGAAGGTGTTATTCTTTAGTCTGTTACACAGAAGGATACGGTATGAGTGGGAACTCGGTTTTAATGCCAAATGTCGTCTTCAGATGGAAAGAGGAAATGAGGAAGAAGGGGTTCACAATACAGCTAGATGCAGAGAACAGGCAGAGGCTACGGCAGACAGCAGCAGATGATCGTTAGCTACACAATGGAGGGGGACAAAGGTCTGAGAAATGCGGAATGTAGAGCCAGCCTCGATACTATGGAACAGGAAAAAAGAACACAAATAAAAGCACAATGAAATCATTGGTGCTACTGCATGTAGTTTTAACAATGCAACTTAGAATTACCACTATTATTATTTATTATTATTATATAATCAACACAGATAGCCTGCTGCAATGTAGGATGATTATTTTTGTGTCCAATTCAGAGTGTGATTATTTATTTGTTACTACACCTGCAGTCATTTTGCAGGCTTTATTATTTATTTTTTTATGAACGCATAATGCCACCATTTTATATCATTTAAAATAGCCTTTCATCTGGGCTTTTTCCCTACATGTTTTTAATGAAATAACCCCTAATTGAGACGGATAGAATGAGCACAGACTCCATGCCAGTTGCACACAAAGGGACAAACATCCCTTGTCATGTTATCAGCTTCAGATACTTGTTTAAATTAATGACAAATCCACGCCGAGCTAAGTGTATTATTTTTTGCTACAGCGGAGTTAATAAATGTGGCTATATGTGAAGCTATTATTCTGTTAGCTTTTTGGTGACTGAACAAAAACACCGAGAGATAAACCAGAAGAAAGGGGGGCTGCCATTTGACAGCTGCAGTCATTTTGGTCCTCAACATGCCATGAAACATCGTAAAAATAATCATCTATGCCCCTTAGACAGGAGTAAATGTCTTCAGTTTAAGCTAACTAAACACGGTTAACAGTTTTTAACGGCTATTTTTTTTTTTAACGCAACGCTACAGTTAGCAGCTAATGTTGCTATTAATGCTGGCGTTTGCTAGCAGGTGTCAGCTCCGTTTAATAAACACGTAAACACCGCGCAGTGAAAGATAAACCAGCCCGGATAACAGAAGACAGAGGGGCTGCCATTGACAGCAGCTTTGGTCGTTAACATGTCGTGAAACATGGTAAAAATACACATTTATGCCTCTTAAATTTCGTATTTTGTAAAATGTAACGGTTTTTAACGGTTATTTTTTTAAACGCTACGTTACAGTTAGCAGCTAGTGTTGCTATTAATGCTGGCTAGCAGGTGTCAGCTCTGTTTACGTCATTTAAAAAGGACATTTAAAAAAGAAAGAAGGAAAAGCCGAGACGTTTGTTAGGGTTAGGATAAGAGAAAAAATATATATAAATCTAGTCATACCTCTATTTCTAACTGAGCCGAAGACGGGGAGAACCAGATATCCAACATGAACTAACACCATCCTGGGTCCTTCTTTGTTGTGTGGGCAGAGACAGATGGTCCATGGAAATGATGATCCAGTCCTCCAGCACTTTCAAACGGACAGGCTAACCCAGCAAGCACACACCAATCCCAGCAACCAATCACCGGACGCCCCCCCGATCAGGACCCTCCGCGACTGGCAGCCGGCTCCACCAATGAGAGGAGCGCAGGGGCGGGGTGTCTGCGTTCCACCAATGGGAGGAGCTCAGGGGCGGGGCGTCTGTGTTTTAGACAGCCCGCCCCCTCCATGACTGAATCCACCAGCAGAAGAGAACAACAAATAATGTAAGGTACTCACAATTTAATTAATTAAAGAAAATATTAAATACATTAAAATATATTATTATTATTGTCTTTCATTTTTTTTTAAATATCAGTATTATCTCTATTTTTTATTTAAATTCAGAAAATATAAAAATAATAATGACAATAAATATTATTATATTTCCTTTTGAAAAACATCACGATAAGCCATTTCCTGTACAGCAGATATGCTCTGAAAGTGTGTGTGTCCTGGTATCCTCCCTGCCTGTAGTGTTGAGCCTGAGGGGGAGGAACAGATGGGCTTTGGGAGGCTGGGGGGGTCAAAAACTCTTCGTCCCATATGTCCACGTCTTCCTGTTCCCACCATCTAATGCTTTAAGCCTGGAGACACACAAAGAGCTCCTCACAGTGCAATCAGTGTCCTTCACTAACACATAACAGGTACTGTCCAAACTAACACTTAATAATACACATCTACTGCATAACATGAAAACAGTAGCACAGGCAACGTTTGAACTGTTTAAAAAAAAAAGGCCATATGTCACATTGTCTTCTACTTCAATGCAACCCTTTTAGAAATGCAACAAAAAATCATGTCATTTTTCAGCTGAAATGTGAGAATATTCTGCTTTTTCACACTATATTTGATTGAAAAATGACTAAAGGATGTGATTAATCCATTAATAAAGTCGCTGATAATTGTTCTGTCCATAAATGTATGAATTAGTTGATACATTAGTTCAGATCTAAACATCTTACCATCTTTTATTTTTGGCAGAATTGATCACAGTCCATGAGAGAATAAAGTTGGTGAGAGCCCAGCTGCACTTTTAACATTTCTTTAGCCCAGCATGCGTGTAAAACGTTATACTTTTCTCTCTGGTGATTAGAATTAGTCATGCAGTTTGAGTGTTGGTGTAAAGCCCTCTGGTGGTCATTAACAAGCGAGCTGTCACTTTGAATAAACCCGCAGCAGCAGTGGTACAACACAGAAGCTCAAGCTGCATCTCTTAGACTAAAAAGACATCTGCGAGACACTTATTTATGTCTCTCAGAGCACACTCTCTGCTCTGTGAGGACACCACTGGCCTGTAGGAAATTAGCATACAGCTGATGTTCTGCCCTGAGGGGTGAAAAGAGCCGGCTGAAGGGCTTTGGTTTCAGGAGGCCCTTCCTCTCTCTCTGCATAGCTCCACTCCCCCTCATTGTCCTCCCTCTGTGAGCTCCATATGTCCCCCTAGCGGCAGGTGTCACAGTTTGACCTCTGACCCCTCGTGGCACCTCTGTGGGTGAGGGTGAAGCTGTATTGTTCACAACGAGGCTGTTGTCTAGACTGTTTGTCTACAGGATGAAAGACCACAATGAGACGTGTCATTAATTTGTGTACCTATGGTGGCGCTTACTCTCACTCCTACACACAAGAACTCACTATGGGCGAATAACACTTTTTCATAGAGAGGCGAAGCCCCTCCCTTTCCGGGGGTCCTCCATGGGACCTTATTTCGGAAAAATTATGTATTGAAGTCAATGGGGAGAGAAAGATTATCTTTCGATCCCGTTTGAATTGGGCCACGAATTACACATATGATGTTTGTCAATTTAAAAGATCATTTAAAAGTCAAAAAAATACAAATGTGTCGTAAAACTGTGAAGTAACACTTTTGTTTGTGTGAAACCGCTCAATGAACTACATCTCCCGTCTCGCACCACACACCCAGACGGCCGTCACGTTGGCACATTTCACTTCTTTCTTTCAGAATGAGGCGGAAAGTATTAAAAGAGGTGAAAATCACTCCAAGTCTGGGCATGTTGAGAGCTGTACACATCGTATTTTTCATAGTCTTATATTTCAACAGTTTTACGACAAACTGTGACTTTTTTGACTTGGAAATTATTTGTTAAGATTGACAAACATCATATGTGTAATTCATGGCACAATTCAAACGGGATCGAGAGATAATCTTTCTCTCTCCATTGACTTCAATACAAAAACTGTCCGAAATAAGGTCCCATGGGTCGGAAGTAGATGGGCGGGACTTCGCCTCTCTATACGCAGTACTTTCAACTAATGCTGTTGATGTAATGTGATTTTAAAAAGGTGTCTATTATCATCTGGACAACAGCTGGAAATGAGCTCAAGCTGCCCCATTTACTGTTTTTTGTGACAGTTGATCAATGGACTGTCCACAACACTATACACAAATAAACTAAACTTTCGATATCAATGGGCTGCCATAATTATGATTTTTAGACTTGAAAGGTCACTTTTAAAGTAGAATGTATACTGTAAATCTCAAGTACATATCAAGTTATATATCAAAGCACAAATATGCATTGATACAAACATAATCACATACTGATATATACCTGAACATCAGCAGGAGAGGACTCTTTAAAGTAGAGACAATATATACTGATATACACCTGAACATCAGCAGGAGAGGACTCTTTAAAGTAGAGACACTACATACTGATATACACCTGAACATCAGCAGGAGAGGACTCTTTAAAGTAGAGACACTACATACTGATATACACCCAGAAACATCAGCAGGAGAGGACTCTTTAAAGTAGAGGACACTACATACTGATATACACCTGAACATCAGCAGGAGAGGACTCTTTAAAGTAGAGACACTACATACTGATATACACCTGAACATCAGCAGGAGAGGACTCTTTAAAGTAGAGACACTACATACTGATATACACCTGAACATCAGCAGGAGAGGACTCTTTAAAGTAGAGACACTACATACTGATATACAACTGAACATCAGCAGGAGAGGACTCTTTAAAGTAGAGACACTACATACTGATATACACCTGAACATCAGCAGGAGAGAACTCTTTAAAGTAGAGACACTACATACTGATATACACCTGAACATCAGCAGGAGAGGACTCTTTAAAGTAGAGACACTACATACTGATATACACCTGAACATCAGCAGGAGAGGACTCTTTAAAGTAGAGACACTACATACTGATATACACCTGAACATCAGCAGGAGAGAAACTCTTTAAAGTAGACACTACATACTGTTATACACCTGAACATCAGCAGGAGAGGACTCTTTAAAGTAGAGACACTACATACTGATATACACCGGAAACATCAGCAGGAGGAGAACTCTTTAAAGTAGAGACACTATATACTGATATACACCTGAACATCAGCAGGAGAGGACTCTTTAAAGTAGAGACACTACATACTGATATACCCCTCTGGTGGGAACTTTGAGATGTTAGCCTCTGCAGACCATTGACATGCACTAAAACCTACAGAACACACTACAGGAGAGGGAAAACCACATTTGAGACTGAACCAGTGTTTTCTAGAGACAAGGAAATAAAATCGCCGTACAACAGACTCATTAAATAACGCTCTATTTATTTAGTTTTAAAATAGTTTCTTTTTTGTTCTACAGACATACTTTCAAGGAAGTCGGGGACTTGCAAAAGCAACAAAATAAACACCTTTTTTGTTGTTAATTTAAAATACTGACAGTAAAATAAAAACAAAGCAAAGCTAAATGACTGGTAATGAGGATAATATCGGACTTGAGGTGAGATGTGACCCAACATGCTATGTGCAACCAAACCATCACAAAAGACATCCAAGAACATTTTAAAAGGAACAATAGAACTGTGTTTTTGAAAAGTGAAGAATTGTCAGAAGCTGCATTTAGTGGAAATGACTGGCCAAGCAAAAAGAAAAATCACAAACTGTATCTTGACTTTCAAACAGATTTCAATTCACAACAAATTTAGACCTACAGAGCAAATTAAAAAAAATAATATGGAAGCAAATTTCAAATTCAGAAATAAGACGAAACGTAAATTCCATTTAGACTTTGGTTTCTTATATATTCCCTTCGCTTCTGTGACCAGCAGAAGTCAATTCATTTGATTATTTAACTCTCTTAACATCTCTTGTAGGAAAGTAGACGTTATTCAATCTGACATAAAGTAGATCCCAAGTGTTTGAACAGTGTGTAAAGTTTGATAGTTTGTAAAATGTAAGCCCAGCGTGACCGCATGAAGACAGAGATAAGACCACAGGAGAGAGCAGGCAGGCCCCGAGGATCAGGGTCGAAACGGTTCATACAGTAAAACTCTTTCTATAAACGCCTCTACAAACTCAACACCACGTCGTATACTACTTTGTGTGTGTGTGTGTGTGTGTGTGTGTGCTAAAATTCACATCTATTATTAAAATATTTATTGTTGAGATCCGCTGCTTTTTAAAGGTAAAAGAATAAGCTTTTCTCAAAGAAAAATAGTGCACTTTTCAAGGCATTCAGGCAGCCATCTTGCTTTGCAGTATTCAATGGAAGATACATTTCTTCAGTTGTTTGTAAAGGGTCCCCAGAGATTCAAGGAAGGTTGCATCCACTCAGGAAAAAGCATGCTAACAATAAGTTCATACATTCACTGATAACTACGTCTCTCTGTGGCTTTCAACCTATAAATACTAGATGTATATCGCCGACACACCTCCAACATGTGGTAGTGCTGCGGTGAAACTAAGTCAGATTGTGTAGTGTTTGTTTACCAGTGGTTTTCTGCTTGTTTGGTAAAAACGTACGGATTGTAATAACTGTGGATTTCAAAAGAAACACATTTTGGGAAATACGCTTATTTGCTAGAGTGACGACTAGATGAGAGATCCAGATTAGCATGTTAGCTTAGCACAAAGAGTGGAGACAGGAAAATAACTAATACAACTCAACAAATTGTCCTTTTTTACACTTGTTTCAATCCAACAACGTGTTAATTATTGAGCTTTGCTGCTGGGAGGATTCTTTGGGCAAACTTGGCAGCCACTTTTGCAACTATCCTCCACTTCAATGATTTATTGAATTGTCTTGACACTAGACATCGGTCACAGCACATGCACAGAGACTACACATTGTAAAATGCATCGGGGTTTTATCGAGACAAGGACATATGTTGCTGTACAAGAATCTCTCAACACGAAAGTGAATAAGAATATTTCCCAAAAATGATAAGCAATTCTTTAAGATAACCTTAAACCTGTATGTGAAGCCATGCAGTTTGAACACAATGTGAAACCAGTGGTGAGACTTTTGAAAATTGACCCTTAGAAATCGGTACAAAGCCGACTTTGTGGTCTACTGTACGACCAAAAGAAAAAGTGTACCAGCTGCCGTTTGTGTCTCAGCTGCAGGTACAAAATGCCAAATCTGAAAATGTGCCTTCCAGAGTCCGTAGTGAAGCCGCCATTTTGTGATCATGACCTCAAGCAGCAACTGGATGTGTTCTCTACACAGATTGCAAGCACACAACACCGAGAGACAGCCTACACGGAGGGGTGACTGAGGTATAAATGAAGGTAGGATATTGATATCATTAACAGATACATCTTACTCACATTTCCACCTGCACATGAAATGCTGTGCCATTTTTTTTATTACGACTAAATTCAGAGCTGATCAGGGAATCACGTCAGTAGAATGGCTTTGATACAATTGATTTCTTTTGACAGGGAGTTTTTTTTTTAAAAACACACTCCGGAGCAGGAAGAGTCCACGAGAGGCGAGGCCGATTCTACGGGAAGGATTTCAGCCGTAACATGGAGGCAAGGCAAAAGAGGAGAAGGAGGAGGAAGGAGTCTTCAGTGTGCTGCTTCTTTAAATTAAAGAAGGTATTTGTGTCCCGCGTCCTCGTCCAGTGTGAGGTCCACCACCTCGGGGGGGGACACCCAGTTGGGCTGAGGGGAAACAGTAGTCCAGAGCTGGGGTTGGTTTGTGCTGATGAGCTGCTCCACGGAGCTCTCCTTCCAGCCGGACAGGCTCTTTATCACGCCTCCACACGGGTGGGCACACCTGGATCCACAAACAAGAGAAGGTTACAAATATTTAAAAAAGTTAGTTTGATTCAAGGAGGTTGCATCCACTCAGGAAAAGCATGCTAACAATAAGTTCATACATTCACTGATAACTCCGTCTCTCTGTGGCTTTTAACCTATAACTACTAGATCGCCGATACACCTCCAACATGTGGTAGTGCTGCGGTGAAACTAAAGGGGACCTATCATGCTATATTTAAAGGGGACCTATCATGCAAAATGCACTTTTGTACGTCTTGTATTCATGAATATGTGTCCCCGGTGTTCCAGGGAACTCACCAAGTGTCAGAAAACACAACCCTCTCTATTTTCCTCCATACCCAAATCTCTAAAAAAGGGGCTGCAACGGATCTGATCAAAACTGATCCAGATTTGAACACTGTCCTGACGTCAGGACGGTGGCGCTACGGCTATTGGGCCAACTCCACCAATCAGGAGGAGACAGCCACGGCCATTGCCGTTCGAAAGCGCTAGAGACGCTGTAGTACATATGCCAGGCCTGTAGGTGGTGCTGTTCTCACTGAATCTGCCCTTGCTAAAACAGATCTAAAAAATGTCAAATTGAGCGAAATGAGGCATTGCTAAAATGCATGATCTGTTTACACTTTTTTTTTTTCAAAATACCAAATATGCCTTATATAGGTATGGTCCTACACTATATTATTATAATATAGCATGATAGGTCCACTTTAAGTCAGATAGTGTAGTGTTTGTTTACCAGTGGTTTTCTGCTTGTTTGCTTTCTAATAAAGAGTGACGACTAGATGAGAGATCCATATTAGCATGTTAGCTTAGCACAAAGAGTGGCGCCAGGACAAGAACTAGTGTGGGACATAAAAACCCAGAAAACAACAAATTGTCCTTTTTTACACTCGTTTCAAGCCAACAACATCAGACTTTAAAAGGTTATAATATGCAGCAATTTCTTTCAAATGTATGCATAGACTGGGTCAGCAAAAATATTCAAAATTGTATTTAAATGTGCGGATGTGTGGGTGTTATTTATATAGCAAAAAGGCAATTCAAAGTGCTTTTACATCATCATTAACACTTAATAATAAGACCCCAGAATGGAACACAATAAATAAACACAATGGAATAACAGATTAATAAAAACCATGCATCAAAGAGATAGTTTAAAAACAACACCTATCCTTATCATACTTTACAACTTAACCTTATTTAAACTCAGAAATGTGACTTTAAATGGTAGGTGAAGACCAAATAAAGAACCCCTCTGTTACCGTGCTTTCTCCTGCACTCCGACTATCTCCACCTCGCTGTCGGAGGAGGCGATGTGAATCTGGCCCTTGTGGTGTAGAGAACTTCCCTTGTGCGACAGCTCTGCCTCCACGTGGCCTGAAACAAACAAGAGGACACAGTCACACTTTGTGAGGAGGGGCCGAGCGCTTCAGGCCTTTGACACGCACACAACAAAACAACGATGAATCCGACACTGTGTTTGAACAGTAGAGAGACACACACAATGGACAGAACATTAATTGTGGACTTTTATATTCATGTTTTGTCAATGCCAGTAACAAAAGGTCAATTATTTTGTCTTGAAGCAAGGCAGCGCCCAATGCACATAGAAGTATTTAAAAGCAGCTGGGAGATTAATCAGATCATTTCACCGCCTCGCACCCAAGCCCTGCCGTCACTGAGAGCAGTGGAAATATTCAGTTTGGATTCAGGGGTTAGTAACTGACCTGAGAGAGAGCACAGAGCTCTTATACACCCAGAGTGAGCTGCCATATCCTGGCCTCTGTGTGTTTTTAGCTCATGCTTTATCACCGAGGGCCGCACTGTGTCCACACTCATACTCTCCTGGTTAGAATCAGTGTCTGAAATATCATAGTGACCCACTATCGGAAGCCCGTCTGCAGAAAACAAAGAGAACACTTTATTATTCAAATCATGCTTTTGTAGTGCAGCTCTGCGTGGAACAGAGACTTTAGTCTGTAGTGCAGCGCATACACAAGGAAACAAGACTATCTTCCCAAATGCAGTCAAATATATAGAAATATAATTTATGATTGGTAGATTTTAAATTGAGAGTACGAGTTCGGCTGTAAAATATGAAAAACGTCTATGTTTTTAGAGTAGAGATGCATCAGTCAGTCTTATATATGTGTTTTTTGATTTACATAAAGTCCTTTGGAATAACTGTCTTTTTAAAGAGGACATGTTCTGCTAATTTTCATATTTCTATTGTGTGCCTCTAGAATAGAA